TTAAGATATATTTTTCAATTTAATGAAAATAGATACTTCATTTAATTAACAACTGTTTATTAATTCTAAAGAAAAGGAAAAAATAAATAAAAAAGTGTTAATGTAAAGCAAATTGGTTATTTATTTATTTGAAATATTCTATTTTCTAAGAAAAATAAGATTTTATAAGAAAAACAAACGATATGTTTCGGAAAAAGTACTATAAATATAGCATAAAAGATATAATAAAAACTTGGGTCTATTAATCAAATGGTAACTGTAAATAAATTTTCTGAGTAAGAATTTATTAGCCGAAGTTCGTAATTATTTATAAATAAATAATAAATGTTGTAGGATAAATCAACCGGGACTAAATAATTATACTATAATCTTGATGGAGTGCTGAAATAAGGTTACACATGGATATGGAACTAATTTGTTTATCTAGATTAGGGTCAAATATTGTATTGAATGAAAAATTGTGTTATTGTAAATTAAGATCTCATAGACTTGGTAACAGCGAAGAACTTTTTTTTTTCCTTGGGCTGCACTTCATTTCCTCGGAAAAATGTTGCAATATAAATTACTTTTGATGTAAAAACTCTTTTTTATTTAAACTATGAGCGAGTATCGACAAAACATCCTTTCTTAACTTAAATTCTTCTAAGCTGGACTAATATTAATTAGATAATTTTAAAAGTTTAAGAAATAGTTTAAATTTATCAAAATTTACAAATTTATTTAAAAATTCTTTTTTGTGTAGACCAGGGTTGCCCAAAGCACGGACAGCGGCCCGCGACTTTTATAATCTACCATAATTGTGCTAATTTTCTTTTGGTGTAAAACTACATTATTTTATTTGCATGGTATATGTACGAAATATATGAATATAAATTGATAAATTAATAAATCTTAAATTAAAATTATAACCATATTTTTATTTTTGTTGACAACAACTATGAACATATGTATTTGTTTCTGCGGCCCTCCTATGTGTAGAGTCATTTGTATTGGCCCGCGATCGCATCTGGTCTGGACAGCCCTGGTGTACACAGTAAATGCTATCCTAGAAAATAGAATAGTACTTATTTGTATATATGATATTTAGAATCAATTGTCATTCTAAAGTGAATTTATATTAATTAAGAAGTAAACCACTTCACTTAGTTTGCACATATAGTTAGTGCTCAACTTAACGCATTTTTACTATAAAACGAATGAGCGTCAAATGTACTAAGAAACTTTAAAATAAAGTAAAACAAAATAAAAAAACAGAATAGAAAATAAAAAAGTGCTTACTAACCGCACTAAAAACAAGGAATATTACAAAAGATTTCTGTAAAAACATACAGAAGAGGCATAAGTTTTTTTTATTAAACATAGTGTACATTTTATCAGATCCTTATAATATATTAATCAAATTAATTATATTATTAAAAACTAATTATGTTTTTAAACAGTTATTTTGAGATGTTTTAAAATGGTCTATATTTGTATATAGAAATGAAATCACTACTACTACCAGTACTACTTTTTATAGTACTTCCATTAAAACACTAATTCAATATTTTATCTACTTTCATATCTGATGCGTATTTTCATTATTTAAAAAAAAAGTATTGAAATTAGTTTTTTTTAACTATAAAACAATAAAAAAATCATTTATCAATATAATTAGTTAGTTGATTCGTCATCAGTTACTGTGTAGTTCCATCGATTTGTGAAATGTTTCGGAAGCTAAATCGTCTCAAACAAAGTTCAATTCTTATCTAAAGGTATTTCTTTCAAATTTTGAATTATTTTATCTTAAAAAAAAACAATTTAAATTTAAATAAACGAAATAAAATTTCAATTAAAATACAAAATAATTAATTAAAAAATATTCTAGATTTTAATACAAATATTATATATTAGACATATTGTATGATATTACTTTAGTTTATATTATCAAAAAATGTTTTATTTAATATTTATTTAAATATATATTTATATGTATTAAGAATAAAAGTAATTTTTCAACTAAAACAATTTTTTTTAAGCTTACTTTTTTTTCTTTTCAATATGAATTTTTTTTTTTACTGTAAACTAATAAACTTTTTTTTTGATTTTTTAAATTTATTAATTACTGAATTATTTAAATGCAGTACATATAATTGTTTAGAGTTTCATTAGTCCATATTTATTGGTCATTAAAATGAATTTGGCAAAGTTTATAATATTAAAAATATGAATAATTGTTTTTTAAGTGTTTTTAATAAGTAAATTATAATTGAATGAAAAAATCAAATCAAAATTTAAATTAGTCTTGATTGATATTGTAAGCTAACTGGACAAACTGTAAGAAATTTTTTATTAGAGAATAACTTACAACAATTAATTAAATGCAATTTTTGTTTTCCTACTGAATTTATTTAATTATTAAATATTTAATTTGATTATTTCTTACAATAAAATTTATTTAGAGTTTATATAGTTATTAATTAATCATAATTCTTTACTAAAAAGAAGATGGTATATTATTTGATTATTTGTATTTATAAAGATTAATTTTAGTTAAAAAAATAAATCTGCCTAAAAATATATTTTGATATTTCTAAACTTATAAAACAATCAGATTTAGTTGATGTTATGTTTTCTAGCCCAACTATAATAACTTCCTGGAACTAAAAATCTAATCGCACCAAGATCTCTTAATTTTTTTTTGATGCATAATCTTAGAAAAAATTGATTATTACATCGCAACTTTCAATTTTTCAAATCGATTGTGATTTCTAATATAAAGAAAATTTTTTACATTAATATTAAATTATAAAATATATTAAGTTTTATGATACATTATGGAGTATTAAAACAATATGTACAAAAAAATATTCCATTAGTCATTTAGAATATTGATTATACCCACTCATATATTTGAAAGCCAAAGCTTTAATAATCAATAAATAATATATGAGTATTAAAAAAATGTTTTTATTAAATCTGAAGTTCAAACAATTGATATTAATTAATAATGAGTATTTCAGTGCACTCTTGAATGCGCAGGTAACCTTGCATTTAATTTAATTAACGCACGACATTGAAATCCACTTCCTTAATTCTAACTTACATGCGTTTTGTGTAAACTTACCGGTATTAATCATTCAATAAAAAAACTAAATAAAAAATTAAAAAAAAACAACGTTTAATAAAGTAATCAAATCTTGTATTGAAAATGTCACATTGCATTTGATTTGTCCTACAAAATTCAATTTATATCAATTACGAAATAAACCCCTTTGCTTCACATAGGTACGCACTCATCACTCAACTTAATTGTTAAGTTATATTTATATGGTATAAGTATGTAATTATATAAGTATACTGAGGTTTTTAATAAAAAATGGGAAAATTCAACGCTATGTCCAATATCCAATTTGGTCACGTTTCACTAAAAAGAAATTCAATTCCTTTATTGAGATGCCTAGCGGAGATATCAGTCTTGTGGTAGGTTTACTCACAGGTCACTGCAGTTTAGGTAACCATTCTAGAGGATTGAGTTTCTATTTCAATTATAACTGTTGCAGTTATGGATAGAACGATGAAAGTGCATTCCATCTGTTTTGTTTATGGATCTGGGTCTTGCAGTCTTGCAGACTTCCCCTTGAATAGCATTATAAGCTTTGTAGTTTTAAGTCCTTGAGTTTTCTCTGTATGGTAACACAATATGCCTATAGGCCTAAATGGATCCCTTGGGATCGTCGGTATAACTTAACTTACTGAATTGTATATACAGACACATTTAATAGGACTTTTTAAAAATTAATTCGAAGCTCATATGAAAACAATTGATTGAAACAATTAATAGTGTAAAATAGTAGTTCTAAAATATATTGTAGGGGTTTTTAATTCCAAAACCACTCCTCTTGTGTACGCCACTGCAAAGCGGTTTGTTAAGCATTTAGTGGCATTGTGTTGAATTTCTCACATGTGTTTTGTTGGCACGTCATATATATTATATATGTATATATTATTACAATAACTATTAACTATTAAAATGATACAGTGATTGTTTGGAATTTATTTATATTGCACAATGTGTTTATAATTAAAATTACTATAAAAAACTAGTCTGACTGCGGCTCGTTTTGCACTCTCACATTACACAATTCAACCATAACTGCATATTGTTTTCGTATCTGTATCTGAAAAACTTTTTATTTTTAATTGTTTACGATACAAAACATTTTAACAGACCTATTTTTCAAGTTATTTAATTTTATTGTATTAAAGCTGATACAATTGTTTTTAACACTTTTCATTAGAAATGTGATAAAAAATGAATTAAATAAAGCTTTCAAAACATATTCAATTTATTTGTTCATGTCTGGTTACACTTTTAGCTCTAAACATATATCTTATAAATATAAATTATACTAACTATGACATCAGATTTTTCGTATTTTAGGTAAAAGAAATTTCAGTCTAATATTTATAAAACAGGCTTCATTAAATTGGTTTCTTTCAAAGTAATTTGTTTATATACAAGAAGTATCTTTTAAAAATGTAATTAATATGATTATCTGTATCTGTTAATATTTTTAAAAATATCATAATTAACAAATTATAACACTACATTGTTTATCTATATATTTAAAGACAAAGTATTTTAGTTCTAAGTCCTTGGCGGTCGATAATTTGAGATGCTGTAAACTTTTGTCAAAAGTCATAATAACTATGTATTTGGTATTATTTCAATCATATTGACATATAAGTCCAATTATTTTACATTGTACTTAACACATTACTAGGATTATCACTAATTGTCAGTAACGCTTTATCACCAGGAAAGACCTCCAGAAGTCTATATAATAATTGCCATATTGCATCTTTTTCTACATTTTCACTTTTAAATGCTATTATTTTTTTATTTAAGTATTTCATAATCATTTATAAAATGTTGAAGTTTAATTATTTTATCTTAAAAAAAAAATTAATTTATCATTTGAACTTCTTTTAATCAATAATTTTTAATTGTTTTACAGGTTAATATAACGACGCAATAGATCACAATGACTGGTTCAGGTAATTATCATTGCTCGTTTATTAATTTTTTTAGTTAATACAATTATTATACAATTTATTACATATAATCATTAACAAATAATTAATCAAATAAATAACAAATATAATATTTCAGTAAAAAATAATTATATTTTATAGTGCATGCTTTAATATTAGCTAAGGTTATACTGGCGATCCAAAAGGATCCACTTATGCCTATGGCATAATATTAAACATGAATCAATATTAAATATAAATGAATATGTTTGTGGTTTGAGAAATAAAAAATGATTCGATTGTGGTTCTTAAATGTCCCACCTGTATCTATCATTATGAGGAATATGGAATCAAAATGACTTTCCTAGCTAAATGAAAAGGATTTGAACCTCTTTTTATGTCACTTACATACGTAAAGTGTTTAAATCAGCTGTTTTTGGAATTATACTTTTAAGTCATCGTACATAGGCGTATATAGAGACTTATTTAGAGGGCCTTCTTCAAAACTAAATCAAACTTTATATGAAGAGATATAATTAAGCAAATTCTATAGAATGAATTATAATGATAAAAGAGACGGAAATATTTTTTGAGGGGTTTTACATCTTCAATTTCTATACGCCAATGTCATGGTTGTGTAAGAGTTTTTGGCAACAAATGCTAAAGATTAAGCACTGAACTTAATTGAATCCAACTTTATTCCATATGACTTTTTTGATTTCGTTGTTGAAATGACCATTTCGATATTGATTCGTTTGTGGTCCCTAATGAAAAGTCGGTGGATTGGCATTAGTAGTTTTGCATCCGATAGAGCTTTCTTTAAAAGCGACTATATAAATTTTGATTGATTGATCAACTTTGTTTTGCGTTTGTTTATTAATTTTGAATAGTTTTGAATAGTATATATAATCCAATCGCGAAAAGATATAAATTTTCTTGGTATTTTTAAAAAGAATGTGTATGTATCCATTATGATTTGTTTAATATATCTTATTAAAACCGATTTGGAGAGCTTTTTGATATATAGTGTGTAATAAAAACTTATTATATACATACCTTCTGCTCAAAAAGTATCCGAAATTTGTTGTTTGTTAACTACTCCATAAGTAATAGACCTTTCTTAAAAATTTTTTTGTTATATTGGTACACCCTTTCTCGACATATAGTACAAATTTGAGCGCCATCTATCAATTAGTTTGTTTACAGCAGCTATTAATGTGAGGCTACCTCAAGTACATTTAGCGATTTTTACTATGGAAAATTCTTGTTGTACGCGATTTTTTGACCAAACACGGCACCATTGTCATCGCTCAGGCACCATATTCGCCAGATCTGGATCCGTTCGACTTTTTCTTGTTCTCGAAACTCAAATTGCTCCTTCGTGGTAAGCGTTTTGAGTCGATTGAATCGGTAAAAGAGAATTCGCTGAAGGAACTAAAAGCCATGCCTTCATGGGTCTACGAAAAGTTTATGGAAGATTGGGTTAAGCGTTGGCGTATGTGTATCGCATCAGAAGGAGCATATTTTGAAGGAGATAAAATAAATTTGGAATAAAATTTAAATTTGTGTGTTTTATTTACAAAATCCGAGTACTTTTTGAGCAGAATATAGGAGACGAGAAAATTTTTCAAAATTGAAAATTTATTCAAAGTTTTTATAATTATTTTTGCTTATTATTTAATCGAGTTGATGTCAATCAACACTCCTACCCTATTTCGTGGATGGACTTGTAGTGTCTTACAAGATTACTGTATATTTATTTAAATTTTTATATTTCTTAAATTATATTTTTAAATTTTAATTACGTATTTTGTAAGCTACAGCAAGATTATTTAAATCGTTCATTAAACTCAAAGATTCAGAATATATTTATTTTATTGATGTGTAAATAAATTAATTACTTTTTAATTAAATCAATTTTTTTTTACTTTCTGTACGTCATAAAACTGTGTAAATAAATTACACAACACGTTTTATTCAGATTATCATGGGTTCAAGTACCTACCAATGACTTTTTGGAATACATTTATAAAAACTGAATGGAATAAAAATTACTTATTTAATTTTTTCGAACCCTGCGCTTCTGAGTTCATTTGAGATAGTTTTTTGTTATGATTAATAAATTTATTATTTCTTAAAAAGCAATTATAAATACTATAGCAGAATATGAAATGAGTTCTATTCACAAAATATAAATTTGCTTACTAATTTTGTATATGAGAATGTGAGAGATTTCACACCGTCATCAGATCTTTCGTTTTTGATTTCATATTAATCATACGATGTTAACATCAATTATTTTATTTCCGCTAGAATTGTGTTACTTTGATTATATTTTTTTTTTAATATATAAGCAAAGTTTATAATACTTATAATGTTCAAACATTTGCTGAAAGCCTAGTTAAATAACTCACCTTTTGAAAAGGACGGATACAGTTTCACTAAGAGCATCCACTTCCTTATTGTCATTGAAAATAATAGTAATAATATTTCGGAGGTACGATCCTTTTATGAAGGATTGTAGTATATCATAATTATAGTATATTAATAATTTTTTTATTATTTTGATATCGCTCTCAATAGTTTATATGGAACTGTTTTTTACCGGGCTTCAGTTTCTTTTTGTTTCTTATTACTCGTACAACAATATTTAATGGTATTCGACTAACAATAGCTAAGTTGGCGATTAAGCAATAATATTCGAATATACCTATAAAAACCTGGGCAGAGGAAAATAACTGTTAGACCTCAACAACTATTTTGTCCAAACTGACACTGCGATATTGGTGTTAATAATATTTGAGTATACCTAGAAAATTGAGCAGATGAAAGTTCATGTCAGATATCAACATCTATTTGGACCAAACTGGCACTACGGTGTCGATGTTGACAACGGTGTCTTTCGGTGTCTTTCCTATAATGACTTTTTCCGGAGTTGTGGCTCAGGGGATGAGGATATGTGTCCATATGTATTCATCATGGGCTTAAAAAAGATTCAAATTCTTTTGGGCTCCTCCTCTTACCGATCTGATAGAGCTGTCATTCCACAAAATTAAGAACTTGGCTAAGTTTACAGACTTGGCAGATTGGTTTACTTTCACTAGAATTAGGGAGTCGTGCCTTTCAGTGTTGCTTGTACGCTGACCACTGTTGTTCTATTCGTAATCGTTGTGATCTCTTTCAATCCACTGTTTCAGCTTAAGTGGGCTTTAGTACACAAGATCGTCACTCTACCCTAACCTAATATATCATGAATTCTTGTTTTTGTTAGAAATCTTCTTAAAAATTAAAGAAAAATATTAAAAAACGTTTAGCTAAGCCCAAAGGTTTTTATTATTTTTTTTAATAATGAATTTGAAATGTTACATATTTTCTATATATTTTATTTTTAATTAATTTTTTATTTTATTTATTAATAATAAATAAATATTTTTTATGGTTCATTTTTTAGTGCAAGATCCAAAATGGAGTTTGGAACGTCGCGAATCTTCTGGTCATTTGGTGTGGCGCAAAGATTCTCCCCGTTCAAAAGTGCGCTTTCGTTTTGATGTAGAAGTTCTGGAATTTGAAAAGCATCCACATGAGGATGCTGAGCATCTATATGAGGAAAGTCCATTTTCTGTTAATAATATTTCGTCAACTATTGCACTATGTGCCACTTGCGTTTGTGCTGTCGCTGTAAGCGTATTTTTGCCATGGTATTTAATGGAGAAAGCTGCCGGAAATCTATAAATTAAAAATTATATATGTTATATTAATATTTCCTGCATTCATTAATACTTTTATCAAAACATTCTTTGTAAATACACATATACATGTACTTTTGTTATATATTATTAAGTAGCGTTTAATAACGTTTTAACTATATTTTCTAAAAGAACTGACGAAAAATTTAAGTATTGAAATAAACACAAAAATTTTAAAAAATTTTAATATATTAAAAATATATTAGAATTTAAAAAATTTTAAACATAAAAAAATATTAAAAATATATAAAAATATCAAATGTATAAAAATTTTAAAAATATAAATAATATAAAAATGATTTGAAATTAAATGATCAATGTGTATATAGTATTGATAATAGTTATATGCATATATAATTTTTATTTTATTTTCTAATGTGATGAGTCTGTGATTGAAGCAACAAGGTTCTTTGAAGTCCAAAACTGAAAAATATTAATTATATACAAAAGCATGACGACATAAATAAAAAAAAAATATATGAAAAAATTTTTGTGAATGGTATTTTATAAAATATTTAATAGGTTATATATGTCATTAATATAATTTTATATTGAACTCTTTATATAAAATGTATTTTATATTTTTTTATATTAGTACATAAACATGTAAAAATAAGAATTAATAAATCGTTTAAGTAGTGACACTGATTTATTTTATAATATATTTCGATTTGAGATAATTTTTTTCATAAAACTTCCTTAAAAATAATCATTCTTGAACATTATTATATATTATTTAATATATGATATATATAAATACGTATATATAATATATTATTTAATGTATAATATATTATATAAAATATATTTATACTTTGATTAACTACTAACTTATTTAAATAAATGCTTCGATTTATGTAGAATTTTTTTTTTTAATATATTAATTAATATTATTCTTTTATATAATATTATAATACATTATTAACTATAATTATATAATGTTATTATCATTATTATTAATAATATAAATATTAAATTATTTTAATGACATATGTAACATATCAAATAAATTGTCCATTATACTATATTTATATATATACCATATTTCACTATAATGTATAATATATATATTTATTACATTTTAATATTAAATTTAATGTATTACGCATACACTTTTATATTTTTTATAATTTTTAAACAAAGAAATTAAAAAAAAAATTAATTATGAGAGATGAGTATACACTAAATTATATATGAAATTTAAAATATACATAATTTTGCATTATTATATATAAGAAAGAAATAATTGGAAGCATAATGTGAAAAAAAATAAAATTAAAATTTTCTTACTTTTGTATTAAATACTATATTAATTATATAAAAATATAATTAATATATATATATATATAGAATTGCTAAAATTACTATTGCTATTATAAGATTTTACATAAATCATTTTTATCTCTATATCTCTATATAATGAATTCATGTAGACTTAAGCAAATTTAATATAAATATTTTTAAAATTTAAATAATTTTAAATATCAAATTTTTTTTTTTGATAAAAACACATGATTTGTTAAATTTATTTTATTTTGATATAATTTAATGTGAAAAAATTAGGCGTGGTCACGTTTTATAAGAAATTTATGAGATGTCCTTTAGGTGACAAGCATTGAAAAAAAAAAACTGATGGCCTAAAATGGCAGATGTCAACTTTTTCGTACTTGCCACATTCTTACTCACATAAACAGGGTCACTTTCATTCTAATATAAGCACAAAGGCAAATTGATTACCTGTATATGGATCCATATATTTTTATATAAGTATAAGATTTAAACAATACAATATTTCTATATTTTTATTAATAGAACTTTAAAGCAAAAATAAATTAATTTGAATAATAACAACGATTTGGCGTCTAATTTAATGTGTCAGCAGACATACACTTGATATACCCTGTAAGTGTAGTATTAAAAGTGACAATGGTACAATCCAACCTAACAGCTCTATTGTGGGTAGTTGTAAGTATGAAAGGAGAAGAAAACATCCCTCAAGAAATTGCAACCATCTTATTTTCGTTATGGATTGCATGCGGCGTTGTTTTTGATGTTTAATTAAATTATATGGCATCCCTTTATTTCTTTTAGGGATAGGATTTTTTTTATGGCGCTGTTAAAAAAGTCTTTATGATGGATGAAAAAACTAATTTGAGATGATAACAATATGTGGAAAGAAAACTGAGATTATGGTGTTTTACTTTCTTAATTAAAAACAATAGACCGTGGATTTTCTTAGAAAAATGTGCTTGGGAAACATAAAAACTCAAACACAGAAACTCTTCAATTATCAATTAAACTTTATCAAAATAAATCAATTTCATTGTTTTAGTTTCATTTTGGTAAAAAAATTTGAAAATCAAAATAAAAAACTTATGGAATAAAGTATTATATAAATTTATATAAAATTGCTTATAACGTTTAAAATATTTATTAATTCTCCTGAGTCTATTTCATGACCCTAAAAGTAGTCACGTTGCCGACAACCTATGAATTAAAACGTACAAATTTATTTATTATTTAATTTACTTATATTTATTGTATCTCACTTTGAAAATTTATTTGATTTTATTTATTTATAACTTTTAAAGTCTGCTTTTATTTTTCTAAACCTATTTCATTCTCTTTAAAATATTTCGCTTCAGATACAATGCACTTAACGTATGTCAACGCTTTCCAATATTTTTCAATCCTCACTCATCTTTCACACGACATTCGCTTGTGTGGTCACTTATTTTTCGAGTCCATGTTCCATCCTCAGTTGTCTTAAATTTGACTTTATTCTGATGGTCAGAATAAAATTTGGTTGATAGATTTCAATCCAAAAACAAGAATATTTTTCACAAGAGTGGTCTAATTGTCTAATTGTCAATCACTAATTGTCAATCTAATTGAAGATTAATCGTAACATCGATTTTTAACATCGATTAATAAAAAATAAATTTACATCAAGACTAAAGTGAATAAGCTAAGATATAGGTAGATAGGACATACGTTTCGTAGAGAATATGTTCAAATAAGAAACATTTCGCTTGCACAGGTAAACACAGACCAGAAAGAAGTAGAAAGAGTTTGAAAAAAGGTACTTACCTACTGATTGCATAGATTTATAGTAATAATAAATTAAAATATTTAAAACAGTTAATAAGAGTACATATTGCTCGGAAAATGTGTCTCATTACCAAATTTTAAGAGATATATCACTCCAACATCAGGGATAAAGATCAGCTCCATAAAACTTACGATTTCAAAGAATTTTATAGATTTTGCAATAGAGCCGGACAGAAATAATAGAGATACTTCAGGGTTTCCACGATGCCTGGCAACATATATTCGTTACTATATAGTGCCCTGTTTAAATATCAATTAGCATTCTACAGCTCCTTCGATTGAACAGCGCTACTTCACCTATTTTAGCAACATTATCAAACATTCCATTTTTCCCAATGCTTCTACGTGTCTCTATTGTTTGCTCTTTAATGCTGAACTTTTTTGGAAGATACGTGTTAACTTGTAGTAACCATAAGCTCCTAATGGATTATGGATATTATAAGAAACAGCTTTAGAATATTATACAATGGCAAGGGGTTTGTTCAAAATAATATTCTAATATATTCATTAAAAAATTTGTAGAATATATAATAATATTTTTATATTTGAATCTCAAATACTTACTAATATTTAATTAATTAAATTAAATAATAATATAAAAATTAGGCGTGGTCAAATTTACTATAATTTCAAACATAAACAAATTTTAACCCCAGTTCTTGAACAAATCAAAAATCATTAAAGTTGGAATGACATTTTTGGTACCTTTTATAGTTCTATAAAAATACAGGGTCATGTTTGTATTAAAACAAAAATAATCTTTATGTATATACAATATCGCAATATTTACTATTAATAAATTGACAATATAATATTTAATTAAAAGACTTAAAGAGTAAAATTAATTACTTGATATTTCTAAATTCTACTCATGGTTGTTTATAATTACATTTAAAATAAAATAAATGAATGAGTTAAACACCTATGTAGTACCCTGTAAAGATTACCCTGTAAGTATAGAGAGCAAGAAACCAATCATCCCTAAAGATGTTTCAGCCATTTTACTCACTTCAATGAATGATTTAATACGTCGGCGTCTTTGAGATTTAATTAAATTTTGCAGCATCATCCCTTCGGAACCACAACATCCCTCTGAAAAGGTTGTTTTGTGATGGTTTGTGGGTGCAATGACTTATCATATTTGTTGCCAGCCATAAACAAAACTGCTCTTTTTATGGCGTTCCGGTTTCGTAATTAAAAACAATGCCTGGTATTTTAGAAAAAGGTTAAATCTAATAAACAAAAGAGAATTTTTTTAGGTTCATTTTAGTGAACCATAAAAAACTTCCATATAAACAAAATAAAGACACAAGATTAATTTGTAAAAGAAGTGCTATTAAGACGCAAAGACCATATGTCATGATGTCGGAAATTCAACATTTTAAGTGAGCTCGGAATGGAAGGTTTTAACGAAAAATCGTAGAATAAATTTATTTATGTATTAAAATACTTATATGGAAACACATCACAAGGTAATAAAAAATTAAAAAAAAAACTCAAAAAATTTTTAAAAAATCAGAAATAATTTTTTCTTAGACCAAATATTGTTAGTAATGCAATACTATTGTTATTTATTATATTCTTTATATATCCGTAGCTTTGAAAAATACTTAATTGTGTTAAGTAGATAAATATTAATAATATATAATATAAATAAAATTAAACACATGATATATGTGTGAATAAATGATTAAATATAATCATTGCTATAATTGCAAAATATTATTAATATTATTACATTAATATTTAAATATTACTATATTATTATTATTATTATTATTAATATTAATATTATTATTATATTATTATTTATATTATTATAATATGATAATTATTAATATTTTATCCACACGATCTTGTCTCTACCTGGTCTCTTTTTTATCGATGGATAATCACATGATTTGACTATGAGTAGCTTTCACCTTTTCGGAAAAATGTATTTGACGATTAAAGGAAAGCGTTTTATTTTATTCAAACAGATTATAGGTACTTATTGAGGAAACTATTAATTTCGCTG